CTGGAGGTACTTAGAAAACTCAATAGTTATAGTGGTTATAGTGTTTTGCTCTTCCATTAAGGGTCATACTAGTTGACCAATCTGGGCTCTAGGGCCATGTCCAGATGAGCACAGCTGTGCAGTATGTGGTCTGCAATGCCACACAACACACATTCAGGTGTTCTTCATGCTGCTACCTTGTAGCACAGAGGTCTTTTTTGACCCTGGGAGATCCTGGGGTCAAAAAAACCAGCATGGGAAAAAAAGTGAGGCGGCACATGTGGCAGCAGCATGTGCCACCCAAAACCAGAGTCTGGCTGGTTGGACCCGCACTCCAGCTGCTGGCAGACTCCCAGCTGCAGCTTCCTTGGCCCCCAGAACCCTGGGTAAGGTTGTAGGGGCCAGAAAAGGTGCTGACTCCAGCCTCCCCTACCCCATCCGGGGTAACCTGCTGCATGCCAGAGCGCATGCGACACAGGCGTTCCCAGGGGAACAAGTAGCAGCAGCACAACTTCCCTGTTGCTTCAGTGGCAGGGCACTGGTAATTCCCTCCTCTCCCCTACCTTGAACTGCGAAGCAAACTTAGGGTGTTCTGGGTATTGTGCTTTGTGTAAGGGATTGAAGTGGCAATTTGGGCATTCAATAGGTAAATGATGAGTTGCAAGGAAGAGGAATTGGACTTGATAGTCCAGGAGGCCCCTTGTAAAGTTCCTATGACTAACTTGAGGATCCATTTGAGGAAATTGGATAATTGCAGAGTAAGAAACTGATTCCTACAAGAGATGAGTCCCAGGAAGCGATCTAGCCAAAAACAGTGCTTATCTACACATGCAGCTACTTAGGAATACTTGCAGTACATGACTGTTAATACTAATCAAGAAGTGTAGCCAAATTACTCACTGTTGATTTAGTAGGAAAGTTCTAGCAACAGAATATCAGGGGTGTAGTTCATAAGGGCTAAGGAATTACAAACTGCTTAGCCAGATTTTAAATGGTGTGAAAATTTAAGATCAGTTTTTCAGGGCTTCCAGAAAGAATGAAACAGTCAACGTAACACATTACTTAAGTTGCCTTTTCTCCACACACTTACCTCCAGGGCTGTCCCGGGGTGGGGTGTGAATTGGGGTGACTGCCCCAGGCCCCATGCTTTGGGGGACCCCATGGAGCCAGGCTGGCTTCGCGTCTGGCTGCTTGCCCCCCCCACCGGCCCTACAAAAGCTGATTTGCCTCGGGCCCCGCACTCTGCTACGGTCATCTCTGCCTACCTCCACTGGAAGAAAGGTCAAAGGATGTCCAAATCAGAGAATTTTAATACATCCTAAGAGGTTACTTCCAAAGACACTAAATGTTTCCAATTCTAAATGCATAATACTATGCCTGGGCCTGGCTCTACAAATTTAATGATTGAGCCTGGGTGTTGTCAAGTTGTTAAGACCTGGCTATAACATAGTTTGTTTCAGCTACCCATTTGGTCTATTTACACTAAGAGCTCCCTCTTCTGCATCCTTTGTAGTGCTGAGAAGGCCTGGGTTTTTCACTCTTCCACCATCACAAAGTTCTGCTTTAAGTTGTAGGTAATAAGGTATATAACAAAAGCATGTGCACAACTTCCTCCTGAAAGCAATTCACCTACAAAACTGGAGCCCCCCCGCCCCTTTTATTTTGCCTGAAGCCCTGCATGCAACAACTTCATTTGTTGGTGCCATTGCAATGCACCATGTTATCTACCCATGTCATCCAAAAACATTATATGTATTCTCAGCCCCAGGGTTATTTATTTTTAAATAAAGCACAAGATGATTATAGTTAGTTGCCTAGCTTGCTTAATGGAATATTGGCAGCTTCTTTTGCTGTTAGACACTGGAAAGCAGATTTGGAGCTTTTACATTCCCTGCACAATGATGTTAAAGCACATCACACAAGATCTGGGAACTAGTGCTTGCTAATTCGCACAATCAGGTAGCATTACTAGCTTTTACTTCAGCTGGAAAATACCCCTCATTGTGACAGTAACCATGGTAGCAGGGGCTGAGATGCAGGACAGAGGGCAGGGCAAAAAGATGCATCATCTTGCATGAGCTGGTATTTCTCCAGTAGGGCTGACTTGCACACAAACTCGCATTAAGAAAAAACAATACCCATACTGTCTCTAGGCTGTGTGTTTACAAAGAACAACTTTCTAAATGCAAATGGAATGTACACAAATGCAGTGGTGTCCTTGGGCAGCCTAAAACCTCAGCTCTAGGGCACCGGTATTTACTGCCATTTTTTGCTTCAAGGGAGTGGAAACAGTGAAGCCAATTATGACAACAGTAGCAATTTCATTAACAAATCTTAGAAAGCTAAAAAGAAGAGAGATTCTCAAGTAGTGAACATCTGCATCTAATATGACTAGCCACTTATTTAGGCCAGGCTATGTTGTGGGTGGAGTTGGGAGTTTGATCTCTGAGAGGACAGTAGTGACGATGAATGTACATGGAGAAATCTTTCTAGCCAGTTTTTCTCCCACTAGGATATAAGCTTTAGGAAGCAACATTTCTAACAGAATGAGCCGCATCTACTAACTAAAGGCCAACTGTAATCCAGGTGACTGAAATGTTTACAGATGGTGATGGATATTTTTAGTCTAAAACCTTACGTTCACAGATTCATAGATGTTAGGGTCGGAAGGGACCTCAATAGATCATTGAGTCCAACCCCCTGCATAGGCAGGAAAGCGCACTGGGTTCAGTCCCCAGCCAGATGCCTATCTAACCTCCTCTTGAAGACACCCAACGTAGGGGAGAGCACCACCTCCCTTGGGAGCCCATTCCAGATTTTGGCCACTCTAACTGTGAAGTTCTTCCTAATGCCCAGTCTAAATCTGCTCTCTGCTAGCTTATGGCCATTACTTCTTGTGAGCCCCAGGGGTGCCTTGGTGAGCAGAGCCCCACCAATTCCCTTCTGTGCCCCCATGGTGAACTTATAGGCAGCCACAAGGTCGCCTCTCAACCTTCTCTTGCAGAGGCTGAAGAGGTCCAGGTGCCTTAGTCTCTCCTTGTAGGGCTTGGCCTGCAAGCTCTTAACCATACGAGTGGCCCTTCTCCGGACCCTCTCCAGGTTATCCACATCCCTCTTGAAGTGTGGCACCCAAAACTGCATGTATTCCAACTGCGGTCTGACCAGTGCTCAGGGGAAGTATCACCTCCTTGGTTCTGTTTATCATGCATCTGCTGATGCATGATAAAGTGCAGTTAGCTTTGCTGATGATTTCATCACACTGACGACTCATGTTCAACTTGGAGAACACTAGGACTTCGAGATCCCTTTCCGCTTCCATGCTACCAAGCAGGTCATTTCCTACACAGCAGGTACGCTGGACATGTTTCCTCTCTAGGTACAGCACTTTGCATTTCTCCTTGTTAAATTGCATTCTATTGTTTTCAGCCCATTTGTCCAACCTGTCCAGGTCTGCCTGTAGTTGTTCCCTGCCCTCCGGTGCGTCAACTTCTCCTCACAGTTTTGTATCATCCGCAAACTTGGACAGAGTACGCTTCACTCCCTTGTCCAAGTCACTGATGAAGACATTGAAGAGTATCAATCCAAGGACCGAGCCCTGTGGGACCCCACCGCCCACATCGTTCCAGGTTGATACCAACCCATCCACCACCACTCTCTGGGTATGACCCTCTAGCTAATTTTGCTACCCACCGGGCTGTGTAATCATCCAAGTCACAGCCTCTTAATTTGTTCACCAGTATGGGGTGAGATACCGTATTGAAGGCCTTCCTGAAGTCTAAGTAAATGATATCTACCCCTACTCCTGCGTCCAGGTGTTTTGTAACCCGGTCATAAAAAGAGACTAGATTAGTCAGGCATGATCTACCTGCTACGAACCCGTGCTGGTTTCCCCTCCAGTTTCTCCCCTCCAGTTTTCACTCACTGTAACTTTTTAATGCATTTTAAAATAAGTGTTTAATGTTAAAAAAAAAAGGTGGGGGCAGGGGTTTGGCAACACTGGAAAGTAAATACGAATATCACTCTTTAATAAACTGATTCTTGCTAAAATGAGTTTAAAGCCAGTGTGTTTTCCAAAGTATCTTTTGCTTCCAAACATGTTTCTTGAGAAATATTTGACACTCCCAGCTTCAAAAATAGGATCTGCACTGTGACTAAAGAGCTGCTCATAAGGCATCCCTCCATGGAAAGTTTAGCTCCTCACCAAAACTGTGGTGTGAGGCAATGCATCACAACAGCTGCATGATTCCAGTGTCATGGGACATAAATCCTGCTGTAGGCCTGTAATGACAATACCCATGAGGCATTTTGAAACCAACACGTCCAGGTTTTCAAACGTTCAGTTCCCAAAGAAGTAATGTGTTTTCCTTTTAAGGTTTGATCCTGTGGAAGTCTGGGATAAGCTACTCCCAAGAGGTGCTGAGCATCATCCACGTTTACCAAGATGAATGGAAAAGACTTCAGCACCATGTGGGATCACAACACTTAACACCTCTCCATAATGCATTCAAGCATGGATATCCAACAGCAGTGATGGCCAGCAACAACCCTTTCTGCAGCTCCTACATAGCAGGTTATGCATAAGCAGCTACACTAGCATTCTTTATTTTGTTTATTTTGTAACCATTTCTAATCCTGCGGATTTTAGGAATTCAGGGACATGCTTCACAGTATGGCCCACCAGTGACAAATGACTACTGTAAATTATTCATATCTAAACAAGTGTTTCCCACTGTAACACACCACAGGTGAAAACAAAGCAGTAAAGAATAGAATTTAGAAAAGTTAGGTGGCATCACGTTTATAAGAATGTGCATCATAACCCTCAGCTAACCTACCTAAAGAGTATTTACAATCTTTGCTTAATTTAAGTATCAGCATTCACAGCTTTCTGAGAGAACTTAACTTCTACAATTTCCCAATAGGACATGATATTCTTATGACATTATGCAAGTTTTAGAATGATACGACTATTAGATGCTATATGGAACACTGTCAAGGTCCTCAGTGTTGCATTTACTTACCTCCTTGTCAATCAGTCTTAATGCATATTTCACTTCAGGGTCTTGCAAGGTAATTGCTGGATGGGGTTTCCTGAAGAGCCGCATGATGAAGGTATAAACTAGCCATACTGGATAAATCACAATACCTCCCAGCTGCAATAACACAGGAAGATGGTCAATGCTACTGTTTGGTTAAAAGTGAAGTAATACTATGGTGAGGGCCATATCAAATAATCCATGGAAAAAGAATATTTTTTTGCATACTTACAGCATCGGCATACAGAAAATGTGCATATTTTGCAGCTGTTGTAAATGCCCAGATGGTAGACTCGGCACACAAATAACATGGCATTCACTGTTTGGACACACAATACAGTAAAACCTCATCGTAACAGAGCCCCGCAAGACTGTGAGAATAGTTTTGTTAGGAGGGGGCATTTGTTTTAATAGGGTTAGTCAAGTGTGCTGCATCATAATAATGAAAAAAACTGGTTTCTGCCGATGGGGTTACGAATGGGGTTTATTATAATGAAGTTGTACTATATTTTGCTTTCTTCATACTTGTGTGCTAGTGATTATGCAAATCTAGACACCTGGGTAGATGAAAATATTCTGCCTCTTATTTTCAATGCTATCATTTAGTCATGTCAGGGGTGGCATACACCTCTGCAGAGTACTTTTGCAGGTCCACACAAGTATGACATATGACTCTTAAACCTTTTATAAGCTTTCTGGACAGCAGTAAGTTCCATGTATAGAATTGAATTATATCCTCTGTAAGATCTTTGAGGAACAGAAAGAACATGGAGATCTCCTTGTGAATTTCCTAGACTTTCTTCCCCTGGGGAAGAAAGCAGAAACAAGAACTCCAAAAGTAAGACTTTTTCTTTAGTTTTACATGTTGCATTTTCACATTGCTACTCACTGACAGCATTCAAGACACGACTGGTCATTTCCCATTTTCACTTCATTAAAGAATGATGTGATCCGCCCTTTAAGAGCCATACTCCTTTAAACATGATACAGCTACTGGATAGCAGAGCAACCTGTCAGAAGGTAACTGGACCTGCCACCATACTACTATTGATATTAGATCATTTCAAGTATGCTGTCATGTCTGTTAACAAAATGGGGGGTGGGGGGAAAGCAGCTTTATCCTTTTCTTTCCAAATTTTTCTCTACAGAATTAAAATATATTAATATCTTTATCTGAAAGTCCCACACATATCTGTTTCCGGTAGAACTGAAGATAAGATTTAATTGTTGCTACAAGACAGTTAGAATACAGCAGCTCCAGGAAGAACACTGAATAACTGCAAATGTGATAAAAGATAGGGGTTTGCTGGGGGGGGGGGGGGGGGGGAATAAAG